GGAAACTGTTCAATTGCATTTTCTCCATCTGAAACACAAGGTGGTCAAGGGAGGAGCAACACAGGGTGAGAGCAGCAGAGTCACCTTCACCCTCCACGACAGAGAAAGGGTGAGAGTGAGCGGACAGGTAGATAAAGCTCAACTGTCCTTTCTACCCCACATCCGTGCCATGACCGGCTCTGCCTTCCCCACCTCCGCAATATGGCCCGACTTCCATTCCAACAATCTCTCTCTGGGATTTCCACGTGCTGTTGGGATGTGGGGAATTCTCAGCTCGGTTTGGAAACTCTTAAGCACGGTGATGGGTTTCCGCATGTGTCAGACGCCCAGATGAGCAAAAGAAAATGCTTTTTGCGGATGGATGCCCCCCACTTGTCCCCGCGCCCCAGACTCACGTTGCTGATGTTGCTCAGGGTGATAGTTTGCATGACCTCATTCCCACGCTCCAGTTGTTCGAATGACAGCTACAAGAGAACCAGAGATAGTCACAACAACAGCAGCAACATGTGCTGTTTACACAGAGTCTGTTATGTCGGGAGGACGTCCCGGGCACTGGGCGGGACAGTCAAGGATTTGGACCCGAGCTGGGGGTTGGGATCAGGAGGGGTGGAGGGCGGGGAGGGTGGGGGTAGGAGGGTAATCAAAGGCGCGGTTGCAGGGGAAGGTTTTGAGACGGGGTTGAAGGAGAGGAGGGAGGAGGCGAGCGAGGCGGAGTGGCTCCGGGAAGGAGTTCCAGAAGGTGGGGGCAGAGTGGCTTAAGGCCTAATCACCGATGGTGGGGTGAGGCGGGCAGAGAAGTGGCGCAGGCTGGAGCCCGCGGAGCGGCGGGAGGGGACAGGTTGATGTTGGGTTAGCAGGTCACTGAGGTAGGGAGGGGAGAGGCCATGGGGGGCTTTGAAGGGGAGGACGAGGATTTTGAACTGTATCCTCTGGGGGATGGGAAGTGTAACACAGGACGTAGACATGGGACAGGGACATGGGACAGGGACACGGGATAGGGACACAGGACAGGGACACAGGACGTCTTATGTCTAAAGTCTTGGCCTGGTTCGGATCACGGCCGAAGGTTTCTATTCCTTCCCTTGCTCCGAACCTCAAAGAACCTACCGGAAAGACGATCTCCTCCTCCAGCACCTTGTCTCCAATGACCTGAGAGAACAAGAGGGTAAAGGGTGTGTCAAAGGCTGCAGGATTATAAAGTGACTCTCAGCCAATATGGTGGGAAAGGGGGCGCGGGGGGGCGGGGGGGAAGCACATAGACTTATTTAGATTTATTTAGACTCGGACTTGGCCATTTGCCACTCTGTCCCTCCCTCTCTCTGTCAGCCCGGCTCAGTGAACACAGCGCACACACTGTGAGTAAAGAGCACATAGTACAATAATAATAATAATAATCCTTGCATTCGATACAGCGCCTCATCACATCATTGAGAGTGCTTCACAAATACACTGTAAAGTGTAGTGACTGTGTATTGTGGGTGAAACACACCAGCCAATTGCACACAGAGCGTCCCACACACTGGAGGAGGGGATCACCTTTCCGGTAGGTTCTTTGAGGTTCGGAGCAAGGGATGGAATAGAAACCTCCAGTTGTGGAGCGAGGGACGTGTTATTGGGGGATTGTTGTCCAGGACACCGGGAGAGAGAGAGAGAGAGAGAGAGAAACTCCCTTCTCTTTCCCAACAGCCGCGGGATCTTTAACATCCCCCGAACAGACAGACGGGGAGTGAGGGGTAACGGCTCATCAGGAGGACGGCACCGCCACAATGCCACCGCCCCCCCCCCCAGCACCGCATTGGAGCATCAGCTCAGACTGTGTCTGTGACTGTGAGCCAGACTGACCCTGAGCCGGGCCGACACGCACTGAGCCGGGCCGACACGCGCTGAGCCGGGCCGACACGCGCTGAGCCGGGCCGACACGCGCTGAGCCGAGCCGACACGCGCTGAGCCGGGCCGACACGCACTGAGCCGGGCCGACACGCACTGAGCCGGGCCGACACGCACTGAGCCGGGCCGACACGCACTGAGCCGGGCCGACACGCGCTGAGCCGGGCCGACACGCACTGAGCCGGACCGACAATCACTGAGCCGGGCCGACACGCACTGAGCCGGGCCGACACACACTGAGCCGGGCCGACACGCACTGAGCCGGGCCGACACGCACTAAGCCGGGCCGACACCCACTGAGCCGGGCCGACACGCCCTGAGCCGGGCCGACACGCCCTGAGCCGGGTGGGGTTTGACCTGTACTCAATGATGTGCGTCCCTGTCTTCAGCAAATCCAGCTCATCGGTTGTGGCTCTGGGCTGTGCCTTCAACAAGCGCGGAGGACAACAGTGAGTAACCGGTCAGGCCTCACCTGGAGCAACAATAACAACAACAATAATAATCCTTGCATTTGATTGATGGGAGTCTTGTAGCTCAGTGGTTAGAGCACTCGCCTCGCAAACATGAGGTCTTGGGTTTGATTCCCGGACAGGACAAAATGTTTTCTTACTACACACACACACACACACACACACATGCCTCTGTTTACCGGCAGTAAATAGGAACCTGGTTGTTAAGAGATTGGTGGATCACTCCTCTGGGGTAAAAATTCCTTTAAAAAAGAATTGGCCACTTCAACCCACAGCTGTCTGTGGGACCCTCACTGCTGTGTGCAATTGGCTGCTGCGTTTCACCCACAAAATATACAGTCAATTCACTTTACAGCCTATGCTGTGAAGCGCTTTGAGACGTCTAGAAGACGTGAAAAGGCGCTGTATCGAACGCAAGGATTATTATTAAAACCCGCGTAAGTCTGATCTGTGTATATTGTATAATCGCTCCCCCCACGCCCCCCAAGGTCTTCAGGGGCAACCTGAACATGGAAAAAAGGGGGTAATGCAAAGGGATTGAGGGAGGGAGTTCCATAGCTATCGTGTCCAGCTCTGCTCAGGCTTCAGTCCCTGCCTGAGTGTATAGGCTGTGTGTGCCTGACTCTCGCGCCCTTATCCCACCGTTGCTGTGTAATGGGTGTGTGTGGTCTCTCTAGGTACACTGAGTCAGATGAGCATGTGATCCACCACTGTTTTACCTACACGTCCACAGTCCTGACCAGCACGTTGGCCTTTCAGAAACAGCAGAAACTCAACTTCGAGTGTCAGGTGAGGCGTCTTCTCCTCGTGTGTCTGTGCGAGGAAACGTCTCCCGTTCGCACCTCTAACCCTCCTGCCTCTGATGTTAAGATCACGTCCTCTTGTCTTGGATTCCTCAGTGGCTGAGCTTTAATGGTAATCCTGGCGCCTTATCAAATCTTCGACATGTCTCAGAGCGCTTCACAGAATATACTGAAAAGTGAATTGACTGTATATTTTGTGGGTGAAACACGGCAGCTAATTGTGCACAGCAGTGAGGGTCCCACAAACAGTCCTGGATTGAGTCACCAAATTATTATTATAATTTTTGGGAGAGATTATTACCCCAGCAATCGACTAACAACCAGGTTCCTACTTACTACTGACTGCTTGTAAACAGAGGTGTGTGGAGTAAGGAAAATTGCCTAAGGTTTCTCACTGCCCGGGAATCGATCCCAGGTCCTCTCTCTTGTGAGGTGAGTGCTCTAACCACTGAGCCACAGGAGTCCAGTCAGCTACAGGTTTCATAGCTCTAGGCCATTCTATGCAAGGCTCAATCTAACCATCGCGTGTTTCCTCCACAGATATTACTGCAAGTGGCCAAAAACCTCTTCACACATTTAGGTAAGCAAACCTCCACCCCCCGCCCCCCCCCACCGTCTCGGATGCCCCCAATCGCCTGGGCTTCACTCTGTCCCTGTAAAACTTGTTGACCTGCTTCCCCCTCCTATTCCCCTACCAACCTGGCCGCTCCCTCTGCTCCGCAGGCTCCGGCCTGCTTCGCGTCCCCTACCTCACCTGCCCCACCATTGGTGGGCGGGTGTTCAGCCTCTCTGCCTCACCCCCCACTCCCTACCTTGCCTTCATGACCCATCTCAAGACCCTCCTCTTCGACCGCCCCTTGTGGGTGTTGGTGGTGTTGGTGGTGGTGTTGTTGGTGATGGTGTTGGTGGTGGTGGTTTGGTGTTGGTGGTGTTGGTGGTGTTGGTGGTGTTGGTGTGGTGTTGGTGGTGTTGGTTTTGTTGGTGGTGTTGGTGGTGGTGTTGATGTTGGTGTTGTTATTGGTGGTGTTGGTGTTGTTGTTGGTGTTGTTGGTGGTGGTTTTGGTGGTGTTGTTGGTGTTGTTGTTGGTGGTGTTGGGTGTTGGTGGTGATGTTGTTGGTGGTGTTGTTAGTGTTGTTGGTGGTGTTGGTGTTATTGTTGGTGGTGTTGGTGGTGGTGTTGATTTTAGTGTTGTTGTTGGTGGTGTTGCTGTTGTTGGTGGTGTTGCCGTTGTTGGTGTTGTTAGTGGTGTTGGTGTTTTTGGTGGTGGTGTTGGTGGTGGTGTTGGTGGTGGTGGTGTTGATGTTGGTGTTGTTGGTGGTGGTAGTGTTGGTGTTGTTGTTGGTGGTGTTGGTGATGGTGGTGTTGGTGGTGGTGTTGGTGATGTTGGTGGTGATCGTGGTGGTGGTGTTGGTGTTGTTGTTGTTGGTGGTGGTGTTGGTGGTGGTGTTGATGTTGGTGTTGGTGATGTTGGTGTTATTGGTGGTAGTGTTGGTAGTGGTATTGGTAGTGTTGATGTTGTTGGTGGTGTTGGTGTTGTTGTTGGTGGTTTTGATGTTGGTGTTGTTGGTGTTGGTGTTGGTGGTGGTGTTGGTGTTGGTGTTGGTGTTGGTGTTGATGTTGGTGTTGATGTTGGTGTTGGTGTTGGTGTTGGTGTTGGTGTTGGTGTTGGTGTTGATGTTGGTGTTGATGTTGGTGTTGATGTTGGTGTTGGTGTTGATGTTGGTGTTGGTGTTGATGTTGGTGTTGGTGGTGGTGTTGGTGGTGGTGTTGGTGTGGTGGTGGTGTTGGTGGTGGTGGTGTTGGTGGTGTTGGTGTTGGTGGTGTGGTGTTGGTGTTGTTGGTGTTGGTGTTGGTGTTGATGTTGGTGTTGGTGGTGGTGTTGGTGGTGGTGTTGATGTTGATGTTGGTGTTGGTGGTGGTGTTGGTGGTGGTGTTGGTGATGGTGGTGGTGTTGATGTTGGTGGTGGTGTTGGTGTTGGTTGATGGTGGTGGTGTTGGTGGTGTTGGTGTTGATGTTGGTGTTGATGTTGGTGTTGATGTTGGTGTTGATGTTGGTGTTGATGTTGGTGGTGGTGCTGATGTTGGTGTTGATGTTGGTGTTGTTGTTGGTGGTGGTGGTGCTGATGTTGATGTTGGTGGTGGTGCTGATGTTGGTGTTGATGTTGGTGGTGGTGCTGATGTTGATGTTGTTGGTGGTGGTGCTGATGTTGATGTTGGTGGTGGGTGGTGCTGATGTTGGTGTTGATGTTGGTGGTGGTGGTGGTGTTGGTGGTGGTGGTGCTGATGTTGATGGTGGTGGTGGTGCTGATGTTGATGTTGGTGGTGGTGGTGGTGTTGGTGTTGTTGGTGGTGGTGCTGATGTTGATGTTGGTGGTGGTGGTGTTGGTGTTGTTGGTGGTGGTGCTGATGTTGATGTTGGTGGTGGTGCTGATGTTGGTGTTGATGTTGGTGGTGGTGCTGATGTTGATGTTGTTGGTGGTGGTGCTGATGTTGATGTTGGTGGTGGTGCTGATGTTGGTGTTGATGTTGGTGGTGGTGCTGATGTTGATGTTGTTGGTGGTGGTGCTGATGTTGATGTTGGTGGTGGTGCTGATGTTGATGTTGGTGGTGGTGCTGATGTTGATGTTGGTGGTGGTGCTGATGTTGATGTTGGTGGTGGTGCTGATGTTGATGTTGGTGGTGGTGGTGCTGATGTTGGTGTTGATGTTGGTGGTGGTGGTGGTGGTGTTGGTGTTGTTGGTGGTGGTGCTGATGTTGATGTTGATGTTGGTGGTGCTGATGTTGATGTTGGTGGTGGTGCTGATGTTGATGTTGGTGGTGGTGCTGATGTTGATGTTGGTGGTGGTGCTGATGTTGATGTTGGTGGTGGTGGTGGTGTTGGTGTTGTTGGTGGTGGTGCTGATGTTGATGTTGGTGGTGGTGCTGATGTTGATGTTGGTGGTGGTGGTGGTGTTGGTGTTGTTGGTGGTGGTGGTGCTGATGTTGATGTTGGTGGTGGTGTTGATGTTGATGTTGGTGGTGGTGCTGATGTTGATGTTGGTGGTTGGTGGTGGTGGTGGTGCTGATGTTGATGTTGGTGGTGGGTGGTGCTGATGTTGGTGTTGATGTTGGTGGTGGTGGTGGTGTTGGTGTTGTTGGTGGTGGTGCTGATGTTGATGTTGATGTTGGTGGTGGTGCTGATGTTGATGTTGGTGGTGGTGCTGGTGTTGATGTTGATGTTGGTGGTGGTGCTGATGTTGATGTTGGTGGTGGTGCTGATGTTGATGTTGGTGGTGTTGGTGGTGGTGGTGTTGGTGTTGTTGGTGGTGGTGGTGTTGGTGGTGACTAACGCAGTGTGAGTGTTTTATTGTTAACCCTTCGTGACTTTGACAACCTCAGTCAGATGGCCCTTTAACCCTCTCAGCGCCAGGGCTCCTCACCTGCCCCCTGTCATGTCTTTGTTACAGATGACGTGTCTGTTCTGCTGGAAGCTATCATAAAGGAAGCTCGGAATCTCAGCAACGCAGAGAGGTGAGTCTCGCAGTGAGAGGGGGCTAACTGTCAGCATCTCCCGCCCCCCACCCCCACCCCGTACAAACATTAGGAAACAATGGATTAGTGACCAAAGAATCACTGGGATGGATTGGGAAATGTATGGACCAGACTCTCCAGGGAGACGGTGGAAGCAGAAAGTTTGGATTCTTTCAAATGCAAATGAAATTGATTTCAGTAAGA